AGCAACTTGTTCATAAGCTTCTCAGTACAAGTATAACCAACAAAAGCAAGACCAAAAGGGATCGAAAAAGCGAACCCAAGTGCAGAAATAACAACAAGTGGAGGAAGAACTACTGGTGCAGAAGAGACAACAATACCTGTGATCATAACCTTCTTCCCTAACCACAATCCTTTGTTCACAATCCATCTCATCTTACTCTCTCTCACTTCCCCCTCATAGTCATAATCATTATCCTCTTCTTCTTCCTCCTCTTCTTCTAAAGAAGTATGCTCTACTATCCTCCACTCCACAATTTGATCTTCCATCCTACAAACAAGCATATTCACATCTCAAACCAAACGAAAAATTGAATAATTGACAGTTATTCAATCTAATAATTCAGAAAATAAACCAATCAAAATTTTTACTTTCAAAAAGAAGAATAAAGATAACACAAAACTAATCCCACGGAGGCAAAAACACACTAGGTGATTTTTTTCTCATTTGTCAGCGCAAATTAGTCCAAACACCACAGTTACAAAACTAAAGAAATAGAGTTTATAATAGCTCATTGGAGGAGCTTGCATGCCCATATAAAAGAACTAGTTTTTGTGCAAGTAGCAAAATTCTATATGGGTTGTAGACATAAATCCGAGGAAAATCAAGCAAAATGAGTAAGAAAATCTTTATGGGTACTCCACTAAAAAAAGATCTATTCCTTAAACTATTTAAGTGAAACTATAGCAAAATTCCCAATTGGTTTTGGCAAAAACATGAAATACCCAATTGGGTTCTAATTATAAATCCAATAAAACAAGCAAGAAAACATACATACATACATACATACAGAGGCACTCCACTGAAGAAACAAACTACTACTACTACTATAACTCACCTGAAAAACGCTAAAAGTGAAGCTTATACAGCAGTACTACTACTTCAAGAATGTCATGACACAAGAACCCGTTTGAACAAAAGATAAAATTTTGATAGTGTACGTTGGGGTGGGGGGTGGGGGGGGGGTTGGTTTGTTTGTTTAGGATAGGGAGATAAGCATGACCAAATAGTGGTATATCACATAGAGATTAAAAGATGCGTTGGGAAGATGGGCGTGACAGTTGCAGGGTAAAGGAGACGCCAGGCGTCGCAGTGGAATAGCTCAAAACTGCATGCAAAACATTATGAGGCAATTGCAGACGATTCCACGTAACACATAAGGGACCTGCAGTGAGACAGAGGATTTGCCACTACGCAGCCCAAGGTGGTGTCTTGTTTCTAAAGTCCTATATATATTTTAAAAAATATTGAACATTTGTGAAATTATGCAAAATATCCATGTAATCAGTTATGAAAATATTATATTGGGGATGTCTATTTATTACAGAAACTTTAGTTTACAGAAACTTTAGTTTGTGTCTAACATGCCACGTCATTGTTGTATGAGACCCCTCAATGTATGACATTTGGACTAGTGAGGCCCACCGTCACCACCATTTTGAAACATCTTTTTCCATTCCTTCTCTTTTCTTCGCCGCCCTCGTTAGCACTGTTTTGCGGAGCTTTATGTAAATCTTTCTCCTGTTTTACTTCTTCATTTCTTCTCTTTTTCAAATCCTTTTTAAAAAATTAATTATTTCACTATTTGTAAATGTTCGGCTTCTAGGTCTGTGGATTACTTTTTTAGGGTTATTGCAATCGCCGGAGAAATCGTCGGAAAAATTCAAAATGAAGCAACAGTAACAACGAAATAATCGTTGAATAAAGGGTGTGAGATCTGCTTGGAGTTATAATCAATCTTTTTCCTGTTATTCGTAGACGATACCCAAATTCTAGCTTTTTATTCTTTTTCAAATACTGAAAACAATTAAAGGATATGAAATTTGTGGACATAATTTTCAAATCTTATACTCTGTTAAACAAGGGAAAAAATCTGATATAGAACTATCACTGTACTATCCTGCAACTGCTAGCTTGGAGGGGAAAGTTAACGTTTTCTGCTTTTTGAGCGGGTTGTTGGAAAAAAAAATAATTTGGGAGAGCGAGACAACAAAACACTCAAACACTCACAACTCACTTTAAGAATGGAGAAGAAATGATATTTTTCATTCAACTTGACTTGTTTCAAATGGCTAGCATACATGGGTATTTATAGTAGAACTCCTACATGTATCTAGCCTAAACTTCATGTAAACACACTAACTAAATTCACATTAGTCTACACTAGTTCATACATCTCATAATGAAGTTCACATTAGTCTACACTTGTTCATACATCTCATACTAATATGAACTAATCTAAACATATTTAATATAAATGTGAACTAATGGAAACAAGTTTATTATAATTTTAACATCCCCTTAAACTTGTTTCATCACTCCAAGCGCCATCCTTAGCTTTTGAAAAACTTCAATCTTTAATGGCTTGGTGAAAATATCCGCAATTTGATCTTGCGACTTCACATGCTCAAGCTCCACAACTTTATTAGATATACAATCTCTAATAAAGTGATACCTTGTATCTATATGCTTGCTCCTTTCATGAAATACGGGATTTTTGGCTAACTCGATAGCCGACTTGTTGTCAACAAAAATCTTTGTGGCATCCTTTTGTGGTTGGTGAAGTTCCTCCAACAAACTTCTTAACCAAATTGCATGACAAACACATGAGCAAGCTGAAACATACTCCGCCTCACAAGTTGACAAAGTAACAATTGGTTGTTTTTTAGAATTCCATGTAAATGCAGAATTTCCAAGAAAGAAAACAAACCCAGTAGTACTTTTACGATCATCAATATCACCAGCCCAATCACTATCACAATATCCCACAAACTTAGAATCCCTAGAAGATGAATAAAGAATTCCATAATCAAGTGTATCTTTGATGTACCGTAGTATTCTTTTTGCTACCTTTAAATGGGAGGTAGTAGGAGCTTCCATAAAGCGGCTCACAAGTCCAACACCATAAAGAATATCCGGCCTTGTGCATGTCAAGTACCTTAAGCTTCCAACAAGACTCTTGAAAAATGTGGGATTTACATTTT